ACAGGGGTGATTATTACGTAAGCCACTTTGGTAAATAAATTTCAAATAATGACCAGCTCACACAAATGTTTTACTAGCTCACCTTCCCTATGGAATTAACATAAAGAATGAAAATCAACAGTCATTTCTACTTGCCCAACATTAAATGTTAATTCACCCCAAGAGAGTAGCAATTTTCAAGCCTAATTTCAAGTCAAAATTTCTAAATGGGTTGTCATTTTCAGTGACACACTGGGAAGAATCAAGAACTAAGGTATCAAATTCAGTTGCTTCAACTAGTTATTAAACTCAATACTGAAGATCATTATTTCCAGCAATTAATTATGATAATGATATTTCTGACATCTTATTTTAATTCACATTTATTCAAAAAGATATCATTTACTCTTAAGGATTGTACCAAAAGCAATTTCAGAGAAATGTCTACTTTTAATTTTATACCTAGCTGAAATTAAATTCATTAGAACTCTTAATTTTATTTTGTAGAATTCTTTAATAGTTAAATTAATCCTGTATATAGGAATATGTCCATAAAAATAACCACAGATCTACATATTTATCTGAAGCAATAAAATTAGAGCTCAAACTTCAAAATAAATATGATAAATTTCTCTTCTATTTGTTATACCTTTAAATAAGTCTATACTGAGATGGAAGGGAATATGGAATTCTATGCTCACCCTATTCTTGGCTTGTAATATGAGATGAGACAGAGAGGTGGTGTAAGGGCAAGAACTAGCAGATAAGCATGGAATCAATTCTAGCTTTGTAATAGGCAAAATTTCCTTACCTGACAAATTATTTCGCCCAAATATCTTCAGTAGCAATTAACTTGTTTTTCTCTGTATGCAAGATGTTTTAGTCTGTATACAGTTTTCTATTTCTGTGTAACTACCAATGTAATGACCAATTTGGGTTATAAATTTTAAATAAGAATTTAAAGGAAAAGGTTTTAAAATGTTGCAAACTTTGAGGGCTCTCAGTGCTACACAGCCAACTCAATTAGGCTTATTCCAGGATATTTGTGGAAAAATTGATTAGCCTATTCTCTGTCAAAAGATAACCTGATTTTGCTTTTTGAGATTGTCTCAGCAAGTAGCAGGATCCATCACATAAAACACTTGTAACATTTCAGGTCCCAGAAGGTTTCTTCAAGTCAGGTGCTGCTTGATTTTCTATGATAGTTTCTTTTGGGCTGTGCCCTGAGAAGCAATAATCGTGTTTTGAGAGCCTTCTGGGTAAAAACACAAAACAGCAGTGAAGGATCCAGAATGCAGTATCACACATACAGGGAACACCAGAGGTCTCCAGGGCATCAACATAGTATAAATGCAGCATCACACATACAGAGAAACACCAGAGGTCTCCATGGCAACCACGGGAGCACTTTGAAGAATACTTGACTTTAAACTTGGTCTCTCTACATTTTCCCCTCTCATTGACAAACAGAAAACACAGCAAACTACTATCCAAATGTGAGACTTGCTGAAATAACTTCATTTTCAATCTGTCCGGCTTCTTGGGCCCTCCTTATATTATCAATAGAAATAGTGTTTGCATGAAAGAGACCCCTACAGAACAAAGAAGGACCATGACCTAACATTGAACAAAGTTAACAAATGCCATTAAGGGAGATGGCGGGTGATGAGTGATGGTTCTACCCAGTTTACTTCTCACAGTTGACAGATCAAAGTCCCTTCCTATGGGATAAAAATGGAATGCAGTTACCTTAGCCTTGGAAAATTCTTCCCCATAATAGGAAGCCTCTCTGGGGTCTGATGTTTTGTGGGCATAGAAATGGGCAGGAAAAATGTCACAAGAGTGGAACAAAACAAGCAAACATTGCATCACAACATATTGACCTGTTAAAACACAGGAGTACATAATAGGGAGACACACTCCTATCAGATCTTCAAATACCATGGAATACAATACTCAAGAATATAATATTATATAAGGATACATAAAAAATAGATTACCGATGTCATAAACAGTATACTTTTGAGACTGGAAGACACTAGGGAGTCATTGTGTCCAAAGACCTGTTTTCATTCATGAACACTCTTCTGGCCAAAAGGTAATTCATCTCCTGAGGGACTTCACTCCTATTATATCCACGACATGGCTCTCTTAGAACTCCTTTTTGTTCTGTGACAAAGGCCTAGATATTACACTCTGTCCTGCCCTGCCCTGCCTCTTGAGACCAACAGAGGAAACTGAATCCCCCCACCACCTAACATCCCTCAGCTATCTAAAGATGGTTCCCTCACTCCTACCATCACCATTGCCACTTCCTCCAAGTCTTCCCCGTGCCCCCCAGTATTCTCTACAGATGTGGAACTCAGTCTTCTCAATGTTCTGATGAGGCTCCCTGTGGAGGAACCCATTTGGCTAGGTCTTTCTGATATTGTTTAGGCCTGAACGTAGAATCTGGCGCCATTCTCTCAGGAAGGAGAGTGCCAGCAGCTCTTTCTTGCCTGTCTTGCTCTGAGTTGCCATTTCCCTGATTGTCCCAAGGTTTCACCAGCATTTGTCGTAATTGCTGTCCTCCGAGGACCTTTTCACTAGTCTGGACTATGAGTTTAGTTCTTTATGCCACACAAATTGCTTTCATCTCTGTATCTCATTTGACCTTGACTGAAGTTCGTAAGAAGAGACTAGTTTTCTGCAATCAAGCACCTTTTCCTAGACCTCATAAATCGGGTGCAAAGCTGAAATGCAAACCCAGGTTCTATGACCACAAGTCATGGGCCTTTATTACTATAGCACTCTGCTGCAGACTCCTTAATGGTGCATAACTACAAAAGGCCGAAATCCCAAAGATGGGGAATTGGGCCTTGCTGTCTGTCACCCACTCAAAATTCCTGCCTTTATCTAACTTAGTAATCTTTTGTTTGTAATATGATTATTTTTCAAATTGTTTTAATTTTGTTTATTATTATGTGTGTATTTACAATGTGTGTGTGCACCCACAGTGTGCAATGAAGGTCAGAGGAAAATTCCTGTAGTCGGTTACCTCCTTCCATTGTGGGTGCCAGGAAGTGAGCTCACATTGTCAAGTTTGCTTGCACAATAAGATCTTTTACACATGGATCCGTCTCACCAGCCCTTATTGTTTAGTTTTCAAATACCATGTTTTTAATGTTTCACCCTGCTGAGTTTTCCCTATGCTCCAAAATCGCCAAAAAGATCATGAACCATACTGAAGTTCTTTGTAAATTCACATATTAAGATGAGTTTGATATTACTAAACCTCTTAAATGCCCTCATGCCTTGGCTTTTCCTTGTCTTCATGAAAGTCATTGGTTTTAATATGAATGCATATATACATATAAATATGTATGTACACATATAAATATATTTGTATCTATACGTAGACAGTGTGTGTGTGTGTGTGTGTATGAGTGGGTCTGAGACCAGGGTCCTAGGACACCTACAGGCCTCTATGACCTTACTCCACTTCAAGAGCTGGGTATGCCTCCCTGGGAGGTATAACAGAAACTCCAATGTAGGAAGTTAGAGGACATACAGGGTTTGTATGTTATTTAATACCATAATTTAATTTCATATTGAAAAATTAATGGTTTCCCATTACAAATTGCAGGAACTAAAGCAATTTTCAAGTTTACTAGCTAGAACCAGGGATTTGGGAGTTTTAAAAAATACAGCCAAAGTTAATAATAGTCTATAAATCAGGATCATTGTATACAACTAGGCATTTTGCTTGCATTTCCTACACAGGGGTACAGAGGGTTTCCCATGTGATTTACTGGAGTCCTAGCATTGCACACATCTCTTGCCTGCTTCCCATTTCCAGCCCCTCGTGACACATTCAGCCTGCTGTCCAGAAACTCACTTGGATTTTCCCACATACATTTCTGAGTATTGTGCCAAGCCTTCTTTATTCCTGATATCTAAATGTGGGAGTACCCCAGACTCAGTGCTCATCTTCTCTCTTCTAACCACATTTACCACCCCATGACTGCACACAGCTGCACCCCCAAGGGGGCATCTGTGCCCTGATGCTACAGCCCAGCTTAGTACCAAACACAACTGGTTAGCACCACATGGGAATGTCTAAGGCAAACCCTGAACCTAGCTTGCTGAACACAGAACCTTCCATAATTGCCCTACAGCTGCTGCAAATAACCCTTTCCTATTCAATGAGACAGGTGTTTCTAGGCTCACCCAACCCAACCTAAAGCCTGGGGTTTATAGCTGAATCTTTGACTAATGCTTCCTACCTAATTTTTCAACAAGTATTACAGTTCTGCTATCAAAGCATGCTTAGAATGGGGTAAAAGGATGGAATTGAAAACAATCGTCCTGAGTAAAGTAACCCAGATCCAGAAAGACAAACATTGCCTGTTTACTCTTACATGTGGAGGCTAGCTTCAAATCTTTAGATATGTGTGCTGCATTTGAAATTTCCATAGAGATCAGGATATAAATTATGACTAAGCAAAAATGTTTTTAAAGTCTACATGTCTTCCTCTTGCCCTCTCTCTTCTCTTTGCTCTCCTGTCTTAGCCTCTCTCTCTCTCTCTCTCTCTCTCTCTCTCTCTCTCTCTCTCTCTCTCTCTCTCTCCATGTCTCTCTCTCACTTCCCCCTTTAATAAACTCCATGATTAATGTATCTCGTGTTTGTGTTCCATAGCATGCACATCTTTAACTTAAATAAAAGAACAACAATTACCAAAGTCGAAAAATTCAAAATCTTTGAAAATTAGAGGTCTGTGTAAGTGCAAAACACAACCTAGCTAATAATATGCTCAGTCTGTCTAGCAAGCAATGACGTCCACATGTCCAATACATGCAGGGTGTGCTTCCTCAGACCATGCTACAGTATATTTTATAGCAATGGATACAGAATAACCGTTATCTATTACTGGATAATTATACTTATTACTGAGTTTCCATATTAAACTCAAATATTCTAAGTGCCAAAAGGGATATCTCTGACATTTTCAATAAAGAACTACGTGTTGCTTCCCTTGCAGTGGAAAAGGAAAAGAACGATAGAAGAACAAAGGAAGAAAGAAAGAGGTAGAGGAAAAGCAGTATGTAAGGAGGGGAAGTGAAGGGGAGAGAAATACGGGACATGGAAGAAAGAGATGGCTCAGATGGCTTCCTGGTGCCGGTTCAAACCCTCCATAGCCAGTCTTCTTGACCACGCCCTTCCTCCTTGCAGAGGATGCCTGCCCTGCTCTCTGATGGCAGTCCAGCCCTCTCGTCACTGTCTGAACCACTAACATGCTATCTACCTGATCAGATTTCCTTAAAAGACTCCAAGAAATCCCCTACTCGAAACCGGTTCAAAGAAAAAGCTCTGCTGGGACCTTTATCACGCTTATCTCAAAATTAAGGACCTGGAGAGAAAGAGCAAGGAGGGGAGATGAAAGAAGGGGGATTTTGAGAATTTGCCAAATGGTGAAATTTTTCGCAGTCTTCTCACCCAGCCTGTCCACAGAGGGTTGTTTTGAGTCAGAACTCTTCAAAGTTCTTTTGACGTCTATTTTCCCTCTGTCCTTAGACGCTCCACTATACAGACATGGAGCAAAGACCACATTTCGTTGTGGGGCCTTGGAATTAATTTAAAGCACATAGTTTCCTTTAAATGTTTCAATCCACAAACTGAGATTGTTTTTCAAGCCTTTATTTCACTTATTCTGCTTCCAATATATTCTTGCTCTGACCCCATGTGTAAATGATTGTGGACATATTAAATTAGAAACACATTTTTTATTGTTATCTTTATCTCTCCAACTTTTAGCCTTGCCTAAAATATCTTGTGACCTCCATGGCACCAGAGCTCCATCACAAGCGTTTTCTGTCCCCTCCTTTCTAATCAGAAGTGGTTATGGAACAGCAATTATACTCAGAAAAAGGGAAGCCAAATACTTTCTCTCAGAAAGTTAAAGACACACACATTTGGGTCAGATGTCTCAACACCTTTGTAGTAATTGGATTTGAGGCCAAAAATAAATTACCTAATAGGTTAAAATGAAGTAATGTTGATATAATGACTTGAGCAGGAACTACAGCAAGACAAGAACTTCCCCCTATGAACATGTAGGAGCATCTTGCAAGGGTAGGAGAAAGTCTGCATGCTTCTCCAGTTGACGGGAACCCTTCAGGATGTGGCACTATGAAAATGATTTTGGACAATGTTATTGGTCATTAGTGTTTAGAGGTAGAGTACATGGGTTTGCAGTGCAGAAAAAGTGTCTCTGGTCTTCAGGAATCGGCCTCCTACTCAGGATTCAGTTCTTAATCTAAGGGCAATCTTTTTTTTCCCTGTGAGATGTTTCAGGCAAACATTCTTCTGCTGTGACAAATACCTGGGAGAAAGAATCTAGATAAATGGATGTATTTTGGTGTATTCATTCAAAGATTCTAGTCTGTTGCAGAGGGAAAGGTGCGGTGGAGCAGAGCATCACACACTGTGGAGACCAGAGAGCAGGGAGAGTAGATGCCTGCACTAGTGGGCTTCTCCTTTATTCTATCCAGACACCCTGCCTATGGGGTGGTGCCACCCACATTCAGCATGGTCTTAGCATCTTCACAGATCCTCACAAAAGTGTCCTTTCCCAAACTCCTATGCATCTCTCTCTCCAGTCAAATGGACACTCAAGGCTACCCATCATGGATGTGCTAAGCAAATAGAAGAGGTGTGTGTGTGTGTGTGTGTGTGTGTGTGTGTGTGTGTGTGTGTGTGTAGAGGGACAGGGAAGAGATGGGTTTCATGGTTAAGATGTATGTTCTCCTCCTTCTCTGAGAATTTATACAACAAACAAAATGTCAAAAGCTCTGAGAAGTCATGCAACCAAAGAAACTCATTTCAACCATATAAAGTGAAATTCCTCAAGCTTACCTAGCCATGAGCCTTCCTGCATATCTGCTAATAGCTTTCAGGAATGGAGTCTGTTAGAACAGTATTTGAAAACATTTTTAGACACTTGTTTTGTAGAACATTGACCTGGGTTCACAATGTTAGTATCATAGAAGAGGACTTAGCACATAGTTCTTGCAGTTCCTGAAGTTTGAGGGAGGAGGATTCTCCCTTCAGTGAGGCTACTCACCCCTTCAGAACTTGAGGTACTTTTGAAGTTGACTGATCTTGGCCTCATCTGAATTCGGTCACCAACACTAGCCCCAAACAAGTGTCTTCTCAAACTGGAAGCTGCACAAGTGCAGCTGCTGTGGGCTGCCCTGGACGGTGTGGGCTGCCCTGGACAGTGTGGGCTGTCCTGGACGGTGTGGGCTGCACTGGACGGTGTGCTGCCTGTCCCAACACTCTCCTGCCTGTTGTTTATCCTCTGTGTATGCCACTTCCTTATCTGTGACATGGAGATAAAGAGCCAGTCGTCTGTTTTATCAGACAGCTGCTGACTATGAAATGATTCATTGATATAGAATGCTTAGAATGTTGATGTCACATAACTTGCTGAGTAAGAAAAAAGAATTCAGTCATGCATCTTCATATTTGAAGTCCTGGACATCCAGAGAGGTCTTCAACATCCTACAAGACCCGTGCTACAGATGAGAAAAGGACAAGGCTTTAGGACAGAAAGGCCAGCATGGAATACCACAGAGCCTGCTTCTCTGTATGCTGGGCTTGCATTCAGAAACCTGTGAAGTCTCCTATCGTTCTTGCAGTTCCAAGACAGATTTATCTGTCCTGTAGGGCAAAAAAAGGTTCTTGTAAAGATGAAATAAATAACATATGGATACAAAAAAATTACACTACACCTTCCTAATATCTATCCTCACCTTATAAATTACATTGCAGGCAGAAGGGATGGAGGACACCAAGGAAACAACCCCTTCTAAACACAGCAGGACCAATGTACATATGAACTCAAGGAAACTGGCAACATGCACAAGACCAGCAAGTGTCTGGGCCAAAACAAGTCCCAGGACTGGGAGAGGAAGTGAACACAAGTCCCCATCCCTGACCTGGAAGCTCTATCTCCACTGATAACCACTCGCAAATGAAAACCTGGTTTTCTATGGTGAAGTGTCACTGGATATACAAAACACTCTTAAGGCCAGGGCCCATGCCCAGAAGTAGATGGCCAACAAAAAACAAGCTCAATGGAAGTTCTTTGTCTCATAATGCTTTATCAGTACCACTGTTTGGTTTTTAAGCATTATAGGTCCTTTGTGTACATGTTATGGCTTCCAGTTTTATGTTTTTATGGGATTTCTTTGTGTGCAAATATGTGTCTCTGTGTCTGTATGCTTCTTTTTCTTTGGTTCTTTTTCTTCTGCTTTTTTGTTTTGTCCTTGTTTGTTTTTATTTTATCCATCATCATCATTTTAGATACCTGTTTGTATTCTAATGGGAGAGAGAAAGAAAGGGTGTGGATCTGGGTGGGTGGGGAAGTGGGAAGGGTCTGGGAAGGGTTTGTGGAGGGAAATCTGCAGTCAGTCTTATGCAATTTTCTTTGAAGCACCAGCCCCCAAATAATGACATGAAGACTTATTATTAATTAGAATGTTTGGCCTTAGCTTAGTCTTGCTCACTACTGCGTCTTATAACTTAAATTAACCCATTTATAGTCTACATTTTGCCACATGATTCTTCACCTCTCCTCCATTCTATATATCCAACTCCTTCCCTGTCTCACTGTCCTGCCTATTCTCTCCTACCTAGCTATTGGTCATTCAGCTCTTTATTAAGTCAGTCAGAAGGCACCTTAGACAGAGACACATCTTTATAGCGTACAAAAAAGTGTATCACACAGCATAAAACCATAATCAGAATACATTGTATTTTTAAGATCTATTTTAGATGTAAAAAATTTATATATAATCCATCTGGGCAATAAATTAAATAATACATTTATCAAGTAAAAATATAAAACAAAAAGTAATTTCATTGATATTTTGGAAAACTGGACATGTTTCTAAACTCCCTTATCCTCACAGTCTTGGCAGTTCCTAAACGGTGACTTTTGTATTCCCTGTCAGAGTGTATGCTGATGTTCACCAGGACAACAGTCACTCACTACCCCGCCTGAAGGAGAGATGTCACCCCTTTCCTCCTGGGTCTATGTATGCCACCACTCTGGCTGTTGCAATCTTATGTCTTGTGAAACAGAGCATTAGGATGTAGTCCCCACAGTTTACAGAAAGGACACACACACCCCATAAGCTGTTTGTCAGAGTATTTTATCACAGCAACTAAACAGGAAACTAAGATATCCAGCAATAAGAACTCATTTTCCTTTTAGAATATTTTCATCTTGGACAATTCCATACACAAATACAATTGATAATCTTTAACCCCAATTCATCACCCATTCTCCATGAACTCTACCATTACTGCTCCACTCACCCTAATTTCCTCTTCTCCTTTTTGTAAAGTATCCTGATAAGTCGTGTTAGTTTTGTCTGCGTTTGCATAGGCGAAAAGTTATTCTCTGGAACTTGGGCAGCCTAACAATTGTCAGACTCCTGAAGAAAAAAAAAGAGGTTTTACCTCCTCCAGAAACTATCAAAGACCAACAGCTCCTCAGGGGTGGAACTTGACTAGCCTCTCTCTCATCCATGTAGGAATATTGATTGTCTTGATCATGTATAGAATTTATGCAGATAACAATAGCTGGTATACATTCCTGTGTGCAACAGCTTTGCATGTCAAGGAGAAAATATTACAAATAACTTCTGTTTCAGCTCTTACATTCATTCCACCCCTCTTCCATGATATTACCTGAGCTTGGTGCAGGGTGGGGGGATGTAAATGTCCCATTTAGACCTTACCACTCAACTGTCATTTATTTTCAGCACTCTGGCCAGTTATGAGACTCTACATTGACTGCTGCCCAACTGCAAAAAACTTCTCTGGCCAAGGTTGAGAGCAGCACTAATCTACGAAAATAAACATGAATTTATAAGGCAGGTTGACAGCATGTCCATTGAGCCAAACAACAGTAGTAGGTTCCCTCTCTAAGGCCTCTCCAGGCATGGACTTTCAACCAAGGTATCAATACAAGATGAGTTCTTTCCAATGAAGTAAGCCTCAATTTCAACCAAAAAGCTGTAATTATCCCCATAAAAGTAATGTCACTATTACACCAGCAGATATATCTCACTTGCAGATTACAGAACCTAGAGCTGTGTACATTGATGACTTTTCTCTGTCAGTGATAGCATCTTCTGAAACCATGAAAGTTGGTCCAGACAGGAAGAAGTTCCCTGATCAGTTTAAGCTTGATTTCTCTATATTCTACAACTAGGTGTGTTGTGTCTTCAGCAACAGGGTCTTGCTCTCTAATTATGGTGGCAAAACAAAACACCAACGATAGCTTGTACTGTTTGGTGGCCTCTGTTGCCTCTCTGAACTATACTGGCGCTGAGATTTTCATTTAATAACCCATATCTTCTGGGGGAAATCCATGTCCTCATGGAGGGTACCTCTGTTCAAACTACTTTTTAGACATATATGAACTTACAAAACTGTGTATTTACATTAGGCTTTTTCACAGTCCTTAGTGTTAATTAACCCAGTCTATCTCTGCTTAAGCCCTTTGCCCCAGAAGACTGCCCCCCAAATTTCAGAGCACACATGTTCTACTTTCCTTGCCCCTGCTTAAGGACTTTTCTTTTTTCT